AGACAACTGTTGATCAACCCAATTAATAATAGCGCCCCATCCCTTTACCTATCGGATCGGCGAAATACCGTACCGATAGGTGAAGGACGGCTATTAATTATGATTAGCAGGTAAGCGCATGGTTAAGTTAGTAAGTAAGTAATTAACATCGTATTACCTAATTTAGTAAACACCTGAAAAAGCCCACAATGCTCAGGCCCACGTCAGGCACTATAAATAGGTCACACATAACGAGGTATGTCACTGTTCATTTTTACCCTAGATATTCGTGCATATACTGACTTGAGCGTCGGAGTACCATTTGCAGGTACCTCCCCCATCCCTTGGAGATATCGTTGGAGCTCTTATTCGGTCCCCTTTCACCCAGAAGAAAAGGAGTGTGCCCTTAGACAGGTACACTTTCAATTAAAATTAAAATCCTACTTTATATTTATTAAATAACTTATTTAATAAAATTAATAAATAAACTATCTAAAAAATATATTAACTTTTTACTGAAATTATATATAAAAGCAAAAAAGTTTGGGTTCATAGTCCTCCGCCCCCTCCATGAGGGCTTACTTTCGATCTTGGTTTGCTGGTTTTGCTTGTTATCGCTGTAATTTTTGGTATCGATAAATTTTTTTTTAAAACTTAATATTGTTTAAGATTTTTGGATTTAGAATTTTATATATTAAATAAAATTAATTATTATGCATGAGTATTTTTTGGAAGGTTTCTTGTACACAAAAGCATTTTTAAATACTTTTTTCAATAAAAGAGTTTTAATTTAATTTTTATTTATTTTATTTATTAACAAATTCATTAATATTTTTAAAATAAATTATCAATAATTAATGTAAATTATTTATTATAAATCTAAAATATATTTTATATGGTTAAAATATTATTTAATTTTTTAAAATATAACTTATATATTTAAATGTAATATTATTATATATAATTTATAGTTATATAATAAATATTTAGCATGCTTACTGTAAAAGCTAACCTATTGGTCGGCGTAATAACTCCACAAAATAATCAACGCGTAGTATTTAAGCCGGAAGTAGACTTCAACTCTTCAATTCACATTATGCATTGAATAAGTCTCCAGGAAATAATAGAAAAATTCAACTCATATATTCGATTAGTATGCCTCCTAAATCTTTTATTTCTTCTATTTTATTTTATTTGTCCAACTTGAAAAAACATATTTTTATTTAACTGTTTATTTATTCAAGGAACTATTAATCATGTCCTTATTTTTCTCTAATTTTTTTTAAAATTTACAACACTTATTAAGTTACGATAAATAAAAGAGAAATAATAATAATTTTATATTAGGAAGTTAATTTTTCTTAATATAATTGAAGATCTTAATTTCACTTCTTAATTTGTGTATTGTTAAACTAATTTTAAGCAATTTAAAATATCTTTTTCATAAAAAAAAATCATTTATTACATAAAAAATATAATAAATTTGATCTATGCATTAAAAACTTTAAATTCAATGATTGGATCGTTGATATTTGATGTAAAACACGAATTATTGAACATAGTAAGTCTAGGTAAATTTACTCCGTTCAATAACTCGTATTCTACATCAAATTTTAATAATTCAACTGTTGAATTTAAAATTCTTAATGCGTAAATCAAATATATAAATTTAAAAGAAAAATTAAAAATTATTTTATACTTTATTTCATTAATTCGAATCAATGTATAAAATGATTTTATGATTATTCGTCAATTTGAATTAATGAAATAAAATATCAAATAAATTTTAATTCTTTTTTAAATTTGCAAACTTAATTTATACATTAAAAACTTTAAATTTAACAATTGAATTATTGAAATTTGATATAAAATATAAGTTATTAAATAGATTAAGTGTACTTCTATATATATATATATATGGATGGACAAGAATATGTTTCATTAATGTTAAAAATAATTTTAAAAAATAAATAAATTTAATATTATCAACTAATTTTCATAATTTTTTAAAACCGGGTCTTGTAAAAAAGAATTGAAAGATCAAGAAAGTACTCACTTAACCTACCAAGCCCAAAGACAAAAGATAAACGGATAGGTTATATTCACTATTTTTCTTCGGCTACCCTATCCCTTTCTAACAGCCCTTCATACTCCCTTATAACCTTTTATTTTTTTCTATTTTGATTTTTTTTTTCTAGCAATCAAAACACTCACCAACTTGTTTTTAAAACTTTTTTTTTTCACTCTTAGCTTCAACATTTTTTAAATCTTAATTGTTCACCCATCTTTTATATTACATACATTGAATATAAAATTGTAAATCTTTTGAAAACATTATTTTTAAAGATATCACTTCTTGATTTTATGATAAATTATTGATTAGAGAAATATTTTTTTATTATTATCAATTTATGATCTTTAAAATATGTTTTTTAAAAGATAAATATTTTTATTCTTTCAGTAAGTACTCTTCTAATATGTATTTTCTGAAAGAGTGAAATTATTTTTTTTTCCTGAAAAATAATAAAGTATTTTTAGTATATTTTTTTTCTCTTTCAAATAGTACTTTTTTAAAAAGAAATTCTTCAAATTGGAAGTGAGTATTAAACAAATTTTTAAAAAATAATTTTTAGAAGAAAAAAATACATATATGTTTTGGAAATGTATTTTTCAAAATATTAAATTTATTTATCTTTTGAAAATATTTTTTTTCTTCTGGAAAATACTTTAAAAATATTTTAAAATAAATATAGAAAAAATGTATATTATTAATTAATATCCCAAAACTGATTTTTGGAAGCATAACCTCACCCTTTTTTAAAATTTTATTTCGTCTTTATCCTTGTTGACACAGTCTCCCACGAGTTTATGAAGTGTCACTTTTTCAAAAGTTGTATGTAGTATAATTTAAAATTTATTTTATGGACCGTAAACAGAAAGATAGGTGACGGTAATTTTTTTATATATTTTATACTATTAATACATTCTAACTAAATTCCACAATTCATGGGAAAAGAATTTTTCCAATGAAAATTTGTTGTGTTGCCAACCTCCCATAGTTTTATCATATATATCACTAAGTGATCTAAGTAATTATCACAACAGTAAAACATAGTAACATCGTGGACATGAGCTTATTTCTAAATAGAATAGGGGAATATTTATTCTTTATTTAATTTAATGTGCATCAATACTCTTATTTAATTAAAAAATTGGATTGTTCGTTCTTCGACATAAACGATCTTTATAAACTTTATTTATTTCTTAGTCGAGTTAGATTAGTATAAAACAAAGTCTTAAAATATTAGTATAAAATAAAATAAAATTTAAATTTAAATTTAACGGGTAAAGTAAGAATTTTTAATAAATAAGAAAAATCAACAAATTAATATTCATAGTTAGTATGCATGTACACAAAATATTGTCAGTTAATAACAACTGAGTTACTTATTTTATTCTCTATGATACATTACTCTAGAGGTGCATGATTCCTTAAATAAAGATGGAACAACAGTTATTCAACAAAGTATCTAAGAATTCAGGATTAACACTAATCACTTCTAGTGTCCCTGTTAACAATTTGGACAGGGTGTGTAGTCTAGGTGCATACCAGACAAGAATAACTCATTGCATTTTTTTTTTGTCCGGTATGTAACCAGACTATATGACCCAAGTACTATTTATTATTATACATATGTAACTTTACACTACTAAGTTTAACAAATGAAAAAATAGCTGAATACATTTTGTAACCCAATAAAAGAAAGACTAGATTAGAAAAACACAGCAAAATCAAAATGAATTACTGAGAAGAGAAATTAAAGACAGTAACCCTGTTAGCTTGTTATTATGAGATTTTGAAAATGACTGACACAGGAATGTTGACAACATGACCTTGATTACCATACAGCCCAATTCTCCCAAAGCTGGCAACAGAGCTGTTGCTGATTGCATTCAAGATCACAGACAAGACTTGTTTCTCTCCATTGGCAAGAGAGAAGTGAGAAGGAGATACTTTCATAGAAGTGCCATATGGGGCACTCCAACCAACATTGAAAGTTTCATTCCCAGCAATATTTTGGATTGTTCTTTGTACTAATCTAGATTGGTTCAACCTTGCTATTGCGATAGAGGGCAAGTTCAGATCAGGGCCATGTATTGTGGAATTATAACTCCAGCAATTTTGACCGGTGTAGTTTAGCACTGTAGGAGTTGAACCATTGATACCACATAGGAATGACATATAATCATCATAACCTACAAACAAAAATATATGTTAAAACACTTGAAAATTCAGAAATCAAGTTTGTTTATTAATCAAGCAGATTTCATGAATTTCGCCACTAGAATCAATGAATTGACCTCAAGTGCAAAAGAACAAGAGATCGATAAAATTCAAATATTTCTTCTTAAAATGTATTGATTTGACCCATAAGAAAGACCACCACTACATATCATGTTTCTACCAAAAGCAAAACTTCGGCATTAACCAAATACTCCTTTCACATCAAATTCTAGTACTACTAGTGTTGAGAGTACTCAGATAGTTTACGTGAGATTTTAAGTTTAATCCTTATTACTGATATTGTACGTAAAATAAAAATTAAAAAAGTCATCTAACCTAAACGATAATCAATGCTGAATTTCTTTAACATTTGAACATCCATGGATCTTTTAAACTTAATGATTTGAAAGCTCATTACTTTGAGTGACTTACTAGAATCAAAAAGCAATCCCGGATTTAATGCTGCAGTAGCATTCACAAAACCACTTCCCATGTCAAAGGGAGTTGCTGGAGATTGGTTTAGGTCTATGGAGGGATATGATCGTTGAGCCATAATTGATCTCCCATTGTTGTCATACAGAGAAGCTGAGGTGGAAAGTGCAGATCCAATGGCTGCAGGACTGCAATTGGGAAACTTTTGCTTAATCAGTGCAGCAAGACCAGCAACATGAGGCGCAGCCATGCTTGTGCCAGACATCATTGCAAAATTCTCACCTGTTGGAACAATGCAGATCAGATATTCACATTTCACTAATTAAGATGCTTAACAAATCAAAATTCCTATTTCATAGTATCTATAATTTAAAAAGATGTTATGTTTAACTTGGAACAGACCAAATGAACACCTTAAACTTGTTCATTTTTGTTTTGAGTAAACAGCTAAATTGATCCCTAAATTTGGAAAGTACAGTCATATTAGTCCCCAAAACTAAGAAATTATTGAATACAGCCCTACTAGTGTAAATTCATAATTATATTAATCCAAAGTTTAAAAAAATGTGTAACTAAAGTAATAAAATTGATATATATTTAGACTATTTAGAACCAAAATGATAGTAAATAGTTATATTTAAAGACTTATTTGGCATTCTAAGAATTTATTTGAAAATTTCTTATTTTTAAGAACTAATATCACAACGCCTTCCAAATTCAAGGACTAAAGTATGTGTTGACTCATTTTGTTTTCTGGTAAAAACTTGTTTATGTATTGACAAACCTAGAAATTCAGCAGAATCAGTGGCAATAGAACTCCATGCAGCCCATATAAAATTTCCAGGAGCTACCAAATTGGGTTTCATGATGTCAGATTCATGAGGAAGACTGTCCTCTGGATCTGGTCCTCTGGCAGAATAATACATAACCTTTGGGGCCTCATTATTGTAGTTTGCTTCCAATCCACCATCAATGCTAGCAACAGCCCCAAATTTAACAATTTTATTTGAATTCCCATCCATTTCCAGAGAAGAATTGTAGTATTGCAGCAATATCTGTCCAGTTGAGAAACAATGTGAATAGTTGGTCTCAAGGTGTCATTCCAACCATGGGATTGAAATAAATTGACTGTTGAAATATGTCAAATCCACACCAACGTTTTGATGCATACATAAAGAAGCAACAAAAATGGCATACATATGCCACATAATAAAATACAACTCCAAGGAAAAAAAAAGGAGAAAATGAATGATGCACCTTGGAATCATTTGCAGATGGAATTATTATGCCAGGCATTTTCATTGGAACTGGGTTAAGCTGAAAATCAGTCACAAAAGGATCCATGGAGAAAACAACACCAACGGCGCTAAGGTTCATGGCTGTTTCTAAGGCCTGTTTGAGGGTCGAGATTCCAAGCACAAATCGGACTGAGTAGCTACAGATCAGGAGGTTGCCCTGGACCAAATTCTGATCGAATTTACTTGCATCTTGACACTCACCAACGTACATATCATCAGCAACGGTTGTGTTTTTGTTCAAAGCATGCCGTGCATGAATCAATTTAAACATTGTATTCTCATATGTGCCAGCTGGGGTAAGTAATAAAAGAAAATTGAAAAAAAGGGTAATAAATAAATGTCAATAGGCATACTGACATGACAAATTATAATTGAAAACATTAAGAATTGAATCATTTTATTACTGTTCTATGAACTTCTCCAATTTAACATGATAAAGGCCTTAAAAGTAACAAGTCAAAAACTGGTTGTTCACAATATAGTGGTGTTAATTTTAGATCTTGGATTTCTTTGTTTTCGGTAAGGATTCATCATCTATTAAAAAATAGTTACTTACTCTACTCTCATCCAACAATACAATATTAACAAGAATACAGAAGCAGAGCTAAACTTTCACTCATGCATGGAAAGCTCTAGGAGCCCCAAAATAAACCTTTTGACTTTGAATGTCTTGATTGATATGCTAGGTTTAATACTAACTTTACCTCATTTTAAAAAAATAAACTCAGACAAGTCATGCACATGCACTACTTTTATAATTTCAAAACCAAATTGCACCATCAGGATCAAAAGGCCAAGTTAATCTAAAACAAAGTCATGTATAGCTAACCGGGATTAGAGCAACAGAATTTTACGTGCTAGTCCAACTCCAGGTATGGTCACATTATTTCCAAGACATAGGGAGTTCCTATAAACTCGATCATGAGTGGTGGCACCTACAGTAAAGATCCATGGACTGAAAGAAGACATGCTCATAGGTGATGGTCCAGTATTGCCAGCAGCTTGCACTACAAAAATACCAGCTTTTACAGCTGACAGCAATGCCATATCTATTGGATTGAAGAAAGTTGCAATACCAGAAGGACGCCTATTAGAAGTGATTGACAAGCATATTATGTCAACCCCATCCTGAGCTGCCTGTAAACAATTGATTATACTAGAAGCCTTGTCAGAAATGTAAAATTGTGGGTATAATTTAGTCAAGCAGATTTTGAAGGGAACACATGCAAGCAAATTATCAACACTTTACAGAAACTCTTTGATTCAAGATCATGCAAACCCCTCAATGAAAATTTAAGTAAATATATAAATACATCAACAAATTTTAAATGAAAAGAAAATGATATTGGATTATAGCCTACAGGTTAACTTAAGAATCCCAATACAATCTATAACACATGCTTTTCACTGAATCAGAATTGTTTTTTAAGCCAATAAACAGGCTGTTGAAAAATGGATAACAATAATTATATAGTTAACCAAGCAATTACATTAGCACGTGCTAGAAAAAGGAAGAAAGATGATAAGAAGAAGAAATATATAAAGTGTCAACAATTGACCTCATATCATATGTTGCCAATACATAAATGGCATATACAAGTACACGTACCTGGTCAATAGCTGCAACTACATCAGCTGCAAATCCTCCAAATCTCTTGTATAGTGCCTTGTAAATGGCAATGCTGTAAAATATTGAAATGAAATGCATTCAAATGTTACATAAATACAAAATATATATATTAGAAATTATTATATATACCCTGTGCTCGCATGAAATTATTAGAAATCCAGATTAGAATAGATCCACTGTTTCATTTTGCTCTTGAATAAAAAGAAAATTAAGATAAATTGTTGGTTGCTGTTAGAAAACCAAATTATATGGAGACCAATTCAATGGAGATGAAGCATTCCACAGGATCTTTTGGTCCATTTCATCCCATCTTTAATTATTTTTTTTTTCCAAAATGACACACAAATAATAATGATTAATGAAATTTTAACTTAGATGAAGTTTGGGATTAGTACTGTGAATGAGGAGCCATTCCACTAGCATTTCCAAAAAATTGCCCAGCAACAACCACTGGAATTCCATGGTTTCCAGCTGCAACAGAAGCTGTGTGCCTGAATATTATAAATGCATCAGAATGGACATTCAGTGAAAAAAGAAGTAAAATGAATAAGTTTTAGTTCTGTGATACACCTAGGTAAAATAACTATAATGTTTTGAACTTGTGGTGAAAGAAACATAATCATAGTCTTCTATGAATATATAAGATTATAAGCTCATTATCAACTTTCAAGCATTGGCTAAAAACATATTCGGCAGTAGCAATTCCTGACCATTTTCCAACAATTTATTTTATTCACAAGCATTGGAGCTTAAAAGAAGAAGAGAAAAATCTAATTAATATGTTCAAATTTCTGATAACATAAGCTAAATAGAAAGATTCATCAATGTTCAAGTAGAGGGAAATAAACTTCAAAAATACTAGTTTTAGAAAGACAAGTTTGTTAATATGGACAAATTGAGGGGAAAGGTCCAAATGGCCAAAATTGGTTAACAACAATTAAAAAACTAAACTCATTTGGAAAGGCCAAAAACTCACGTGCCATGGCCATCACCATCAAAGGGAGAAGCATAGTCCTGAGATGAATTAAATATTCCTCGGGTTATAGCAGATGCTGCAAAATGTCTGGCCCCAACAAGCTTCCGATTGCAAGAACCAGATGGAAAATCGGGAGTAACCTCGCATGCGCCAGAGAAATGAGCAGGAACGGGAAATGGATGTTCAGACTTATCATCAGCAAAACTAGGGTGAGTAGGATCAATGCCAGTGTCAACAAAACCAATAGTGATTCCTTCTCCAGCAGTTTCAAACCCACCATTTTGCAACCAAGCTCCCTGTGGCAGACCCAAAAATTTTGGAGTGTGGGTGGTTGCAGTTCTCACAGAAAAATCTAAAGCCACATTGGACACTTCTCTTCTCCTTGAAAGCTTATCTGCCTTCAAGATTTAAAAGATCAAGAACATGTGTTAGTTGAAGTAGTTCATCAAATCACAGATAGAAACACCAAACTATGAACAAATGGAAACAACTCAAACAAGCAAGCACAAGCACATGTTTCTTTACAGAACAAGGACATAATCAAGATGATGAAAAGTAAAACCATACCATACCTGCAGTTGGGTAACCAGCACAGCAAATCCATTAATCAAGTAATGATAGCTATAGAGCTTAAGATATTTCTCCCCCTTGAACACCTTATTCAACAACGAATCGTGAACTCGGGCAAAGTATGAACCATGTCTCCTATCTGTCTTTGTAACATTCTGATGTCTGAAAAAACTCAAAAACCAAAAGAGAAAAGAACATACATATCTCTAAAATGAATGCACACTAAGCACAAAATTCAAGAAATTGGAGGAAATAAAAATAAGGGTGGTACACAGCACAGAGAATTTAGATTCTAAGAATATCAAACAAATATAATGATAAGGTTTTTAAACGACTTGTCCACGAGTTGTTTAGGTACTATGGCAATCATTTTAACAAATGTTCATCATCATAACACAAGCGCATAACTTCAACAAGAAGGCTCAACCCCAATAAAGAAGAGCTAGAAGCCAAAAACATCCGTGATATAGAGGAATGTAACAATACCCTTTGAAAACCATCATAAAAAATATGGGGTACCTTGGTTTGTGAACTCTAGTTCTTCTTCCCGGTGCACCATGTCTATTGTTGTTACCCAGTGTGATGAATTCATGATGATGGTGAGATGCAGGAGCTTGTCTGAGAGTAACAATGTACACAGCTGTAGTTGTGTCATCACTTTGACAAAAGGAAGGTATTAGAAGCAATCCCAAGAAACACAAGAGCACTAAATGTGAGTGCATGTTTTCCATTTGGGTTTTGGAATGCAAAGAGAATGAACAAGAAAGTAACAACTATTGTATTGTTGAGTTCAGCAGCACGTGTAGTCCATCCTCAACTGCAGGACTGGCCTTTTAATATTTATGAAAGTTTAGTAAACACTGTCTTGTTCTGCAGTTTGTTCTGAAGCCTCAAGTGGAAGTGTAAAGTGAAGCTAACTCGACACTACTGATACAAAGCTCAAGTATGGAGAATCTGAAACACTATCTCGGGTGTTGTGAAAGTGTGGATTTTGACATTTATAAAGATAACAATATATCCATTCTCTTAATACATTTAACTTATCATCTTTAAGAATATTTACATAAAAATGTATTTTAAAATATGTATTGAAATAGTTTTCATTTTTCAAGTTACTCTTCACTTATTCGATGCTCTAATACTGCTATCTAGAGCCGTGAATGTGGGCCGGAACCCGTGGGCCAACCCGGCCCACCTTGAAAACGGGCTGGGCCGGCCAAAAAAATTGAGGTTTTATAATAGGTGGGTATATCTCAACCTGACCCACTTTGACCCGGCCCACCAACCCACCATTTTTTTTTGCAACAAAAATTTAAGCATGATTTGTAGTTAATTTTGTATGATGGGATATTGAAAATTTTTTATTTTAGACTTTTATCATGATTTGTATTTAATTTTGTATGATGAATTATGACTTACGACTATTAATGATGCTAATTATATGACTATTATGTTAATTTATAATTAATTTAAAATTTTGAATTTTGTTGATAAATTTTTTTTAATTTTTGGTGGGCTGGCCCGTATAACCCACCAACCCGTGGTGGACCGGGCCGGGCCAAATTTTTTTTGAGAAAATAAAAAATGGGCCGGATTGGGCTGGCTCATTTTTAAAGTGGGTCAAAGTGGATCGACTCATATGGACCGGGTAGGCCCGTTTTAACAGCTCTAGTGCTATCATCTATTTAGGTATCAACACTGTTTCTCTCACCTTCGTGCACTCACTAAATATGTCTCCTGTGTATACTTGCCTTTATATTAAATGATAATACTAACGAAGTATGACATGATTGGTAGATAAATATCTAATTTTTAACTTATGTATATACGTGTGTTAGGAAAAGTAAATCTATTAAATGAATTTCATTTCCTCGGAATCTCAGTGGTGCTTTTCTTATGGTTTCACTATTTTGTTGGTGTATACTAAGTGACAGAATGAAATATTGAATATTCCTATCCTATACCAAACCTAAATCTATAGATGTATTTATAAAGGGTAAGAGTGAGTGGGGCCTGTACGTCTTACATTCATTCCAACCTAACATTTTAAATATTTAAGACACTGCTTTTTGGCTGTGCCATAAAGAAAGTGTGTGCATGATGGTTCGGTGGCATTTCAAGTGCCTTTGCGCACATGTCATAGTGATAGTGCACCACCACCCTCAGCAAAAAAGTCTTCTCTCATTGCATTCTAAGTTAAAATTGCATGTTTTGGAATCTTTTTTCCTTTGTTGATTAGATATCATTATGAGATCCACGCATGCCTCAATTTCTTTTTTATTTGGTAGCTATTTGAGACCTTGAAACAAGATTGCCAGATTTTGATAAATCTTTGTTTTAACATGGAACTTTTTGGTTCTAAATAAAATAGTTGAGGTGCAATCACCACTTCCATGTAAACTCACAAAATATGGTTTACTAACAAAGTCATGTGTATGCCAATGGTTGAACGGCCGGATTTTAATAATGCAAAAGAGTGATAAAATATGGTTCATACAATAGCTTCTCTTTTCTCTTTCTTTCTTAGGTATAAATTTAATTTGTTATTATAAGAAAGATTATTTTAAGAGAATTATATTACTGATCATATCATAATTTTTTAATATCACTTTTCATCTCTATTACATAAATCACCTTAACATATGTCTATCTCTCTTTTGTTTTTTCTGTTACACAAAGTTTTGTAGAAAAATATTTTCTTTTTTGTATAATATATTTTTATTAAAAATTTAAAAATAACATATTATATCTATTTTTCAAATTTTTTACAAATAGAAAGATAAAAAATAATATTTTTCTATTTTCTTGCAAATTATAAAAATGGAAAATAAAAATAGTATCATTTAAAAATTATCAATGAAAATATAATAATTGATAATAAAAATCAAAATTCCCTTCACACTTTACAAAGTGAGTATATTTACCATTGTCCACTGATTTAGTTAATTAAAATATATCATGCTCAATTAAGTTATTAATTTAAAAAAAACATTTTATTTAATTTAGTAGTAAAAAAGCTCACTAGCTTTATCGGTAATTAGTGACGGAAATTAGTGACTACTTTTGCATGAAAAAAAAAATAGCAGGTTGCATAGTTTTGTTTTCTATTTCAATTGATGACCTTTTGCATGTGTCCCCAGTTCCAACAAAAGGCTTTTTAGGGGTGTAACATTCTGTTCCTTCCTATTTTGTATATATCAGTTCCCTTCCAAGTTCCGAAACTTGAGGATTCTATTCTTTTCAAACTTTTTGACCTTCAAGTCACAATCTTTTAAGTAGGTTCCTCTTTATGCATGAGCAAGAATTCTCACTCTCCCTTCTTTCAAATGACAAAAACATAGCAAGTCTCAAAATGGCCATCCTCTATTTTACACTCACAACTTTGGCGACTCTTCATACAAAGGTTCTCTCAAAGGCCATACAGTTATGATAGAATCTTCTATGGAAGTGAAAAGAGCTTTAGGTTTTTAGTTTGGGATATAAGGAATTCAAGAAAAGAGGTTTCGCATTATAAAATAAGCCAGAACATCAGTTTTAAGAACATATTAATTTTTGGTGTAAAAAAAAAAAAGAACATACTCATTTTTGGCCCATTTAATTATAAAAATTATTTTTAATATTCATATTCATATTTCTCAAAATATTATTTATTTAATTTACAAAATAATTTCACATACATATAATATTAATATAAGAAAATAATTATTGAAATGTTACAATAGATATTCTCAGTTGAGTGATACATGAAAATTTTAAAGAGGTACATACAGAATCCGCATTGTGTCTTGAGTATTTATTTAAAAGATATATTATTTAAGAATTTGTTGAGTTTTGTAATGATGACTTATGAAAAAGTAGAAACCATGGGGAATCCAAGATTCATCATGCTAGAAGAGTTGCAAAACTAATACACTAGAGTGATAGTGATATCCCACAGGTTCAAGAAGTTCTTCAAGCACATCTATACATCTTGAATACCCTCAACGGAACAATAAAATTTTATTGACAAAGCATATCATCGAGACTTTCTTACCCTTGTTTAAAGACTAAGTTGGACACGATGATAATATGTCTTAACACATTATAATGACTAACATTGGAATCTAACTTTAAGGTCATCTTTTAGACCATATGATATCCATGAGTATTCATTTTATACTAAGGACCAAGATGGCAAAAGCTTTGTGCTACAAAACAGTAGTGTTATGACAGTAATTAAGTTTATACAATTTCATAATGAAAAAGATAAAAATTCAATAAAGACATCCATTTATTATTTTGAAGTTATTGAAGAAATTTGAGAGATCGAGTATTACACCCTCTCGGTTTTAGGAGGAGCAACGTGTCTTAAATTTATGCTCCTAAACTGAATTATCGCTAAATATTATGCCCATTTTGTAATTCCTTTTAGGATCTTAGTCTAGGTGTAGAGAAAATGTTTTTATTTCTCTTATTTTATAATAGTGATATAATTTGCATTTATGCAAATCAAATCTGTTACAAATAAGAAAAATAACAAAATAGTAAACAAGCCTCCCATATAAATAAGGAGAGAAAAAGGAAACAAGTAAACTAGATAATTTCCTAAAATATATTTGATCTAATTTGGTTGAGATTTATTTTTCCTAAACTTATTTGTCATGCCCAATTTGCTTACAAAGAGTTTATACTTAGGTCAAGAAAGTTCTTTAGTGAGTATATCAACCACTTGTACAAATGGAACAAATGGCATGCAAATAGCTCCAACATCAATCTTTTCTTTAATGAAATGTCTATCAATTTCCACATATTTGGTATGGTCATGCTGAACTGGATTTTGTGCTATGCCTATAGTTGCCTTATTGTCACACTACAATTTTAGTGATAGTTTCACATGCTTTTTTAACTCTTCAAGAAGTCTTTTCACCCATAACATTTCACTCACTCCTTAAGTCTATATTCAACTTTAGCACTGCTCCTAACCACAACATTTTGTTTTTTGCTATGCCATTTTGTTTGGTAGACAACTTCAAGGTAGTCCTCATAGGGTGAATCCATGAATTGACTAACTAGACTTATCGCAAAAGCAATGTTTGGCCAAGTATGAGATAGACAAATCAATTTTCCAACCAATAGCTTTGATAACTGGATGTGTCAATTGGAGTTCTCTCTTTTGTTGTCTCCAAGTTTTATTGGGATCAATTGGAGTTTTTGCAAAAACTTGTTGAGATTTCCGTTGAAGTACTTTTGTTATAATTGTAAATCAGTTTGATTCAATCAACGGTCTCAAACACGGCAAGTATACCGGCCGTTCAAGTAGTAAAAATATCGTATCCACAGGGATTAGAAGGTAATATAAGCATTTATTGACTATTCGTGACTAAAGAATAATTCCAATTTCATAGTTTGTGCAGTGAATTCAAAGTTGTGACTATTGGAATGAAAGCTGTAAATAAATATTGTTTTGTGAGTGGAAAAGGTAAGGAATGGTATTGTGGTATTGTGAGGTTGTGGGGGTCAGATTTCACCAAACGTAACACTAATGTATCCTTAATCTCTTGTTGAATTCATTGCTTAGTCAACCCATAAGTTTACTCAAACCTAATCCCTTAGAGAAAGAGCCTAGGTGCGGATATTGAATATCAATCCCTTGAGTACCCAATATCTACACCCGCATTACGGGCTAGGGTTTAAGACTACTAATGGGTCAAGCTCTATCCCTAGATACAATCACCACTAGGCATATGTTTCAGAACTAGTTTCAAAGGTTATTTTCCAATACCCATGGAACCTTAAATCATGCAAAGGGTGATCAATCCAAAGCAAGCATTAAGAATAGAAACAAACACAACAAAGAATAAAACAACATGTATATATATCATTAAAACCGTAAAGATTACAATAGAGTACGTTGGTTACATCTAACCCCACAAAATGGGTGAAACCACTCACAACAATGAGGGCAAATACAAAATAGAGATGGAAGAGGAAGTGAAGAACCGAAGGAAAGATCCGCACACGGACGATCCCAAGCCCTGGGAATCCCTTCCGCAGCTCCTGGAGGCGCCCAATGTGAGAATGAAGGTTTCTCCCCCGAAAATGGCTTCAAATACGAGTCTGGGAGATTAGATTAGGGTTCCGCGCCCGGCGCACAATTCTTCGCGCCCGGCACAAGTTCTTCCAGAGAAGTCAAGCACTCTCTGTCTCAACACAAGCCCGACGCAATTCCTTTTGCGCCCGGCTTAATTCCTTTTGCGCCCGGCTCAATTCCTTTTGCGCCCGGCGCAATATAACTGGCAGAGATGAAATACTCTGTTTTTGTCACGCCCAGCGCGGGTTATATTGAGCCCGGCGCAGAACCTCTTCTCTGCTCCTTAGCTTCTTAGGTTTCCAATCCTAAGAGTCTTCAATCCTCAAGTCCCTAGCTCAATACCTGCACAAAAAAAAAGGTGTATTAAGGTATTGTTAGCTAAATTTGGGTTAGTTATATCTGCACACAAAAAGAACCAAAAAGAGAACAATTATATTGCAATGGTTCAGAGGATGAGTGGAATTCGTTCAATAAGTCTCATCCAAAAAGAGGTAAAATTGAGACTTAACATTGGTCTACATCCAATCATGTCGGTCTCTTTAAGAATATCAAGAATGTACTTCCTTTGTGAGAGAATAATCCCTTCCTTTGAGCGAGCTATCTCCATTCCCAAGAAGTATCATAATGATCCTAGATCTTTAATTTCAAATTTTGCGTGAGTGTCTCTTTCAACATATTCACTTCTCCCAAAGTCATCTCTTGTGACTATATTATATCATCCACATAAAAAATCAAAATGGAAATCTTTCTAATATAATTGACTATTTTATAATCATAGTATGATCAGCTTGACTTTGAGTATACATTTGTCCTTTTACAAACTGTGTAAACGTGTCAAATCATGTCAGTGATGATTGTTTCAATTCATATATTGACTTTTTTAACTTGTAGATTTTAGAATAAAACTTTTGCTCAAATCCTGGAGGATGATTCATATATACTTCTTCCTCCAATTTCCCATTTAGGAATGCATTGTTTATGTTTAGTTGTTGTAAAAGCCAATCAAGATTAGCCTCAAAAGATAAAAGAACTCTCATAGTGTTCAATTTTACAACCAGAGCAAGTGTCTCAAAATAATCAAGTCTGTAGTTTTGAGTGAACCCTTTGATAACCAATTAAGCCTTGTATCTCTCAATAGAGCCATCAAATTTGTACTGTATTATGAATATCCATTTGCATCCCGTAGTATTTTTTCCTTTGGGTAGCTCCATGATTATGAATATCCATTTGCATCCCATAGTATTTTTTCCTTTGGGTAGCTCCATGACTTGCCACGTTTGATTTTTCTCGAGGACATTCATCTCTTCTCGGACAACTTTTTTCCATTTCGGAATTTCCAAGGCATCTTGTATATTTTTTGGAATCTCCATACATGACAATTGTGAGATAAAAGCACGAAAGTTTGGCTATTATAGAGAGTTTCATCAGTAATTATGATTTTTTTTTATTCCCTACATAAGGACTATAGGAAAAAAAATAGTTTTACCCAAGAATCCAATCTATCATGTGATTAGTGGCTCTAGAGTCAATTACCCAAGGATTTTGAGATTTTGGGTAAAAAGAGTACTGGTGAGATATGTACCCTTTTGGGCCAATGAACAAGAAGGATTTAGTATCATTTTTTTGAGAAAAAAGTTTATACATGTGTTCTAATTGTTCCTTTGTGAATGGGGTTGCCTTTATCACCTTATTTGAACTACCACAATTGTGTCTTCAAGTCATAAATTTGAGAGGAGTTTTCTAAGTCAGAATAGTATTCACATATAGCATCCCAAACATCTTTGGTTATGGGGAGGAACAAATAGGATTTTTCTTCTGTTGATTCCATGGAGTTGATTAATCAAGTAATAATGAGAGAATTTTTTGACTTCCACCTTCCACCTTATGAAAGAGGGATCATCCTTGGAGGACTACACAACTTCTTCAATAAGGTATCCCGGTTTTCCTTTCCCATCTATGGCCAACTTCTTATATTGGGTCAACTCAATGTAATTTTTGCCAAGTGTTTAAACTCAAGTTGTAAACTCAAGTTTTGTGAGAAAGCATCAAATGGGATTGGATGTCACTGCTCCGATATTTCTTGGAGTCTTTATATAGGTGTTGGACATATTTATAAAAGCGTCAGTCATTGTGATTGAGAGAGGTCAAAGTTGAAGCTCCGATACCATCTAAGTTTAGAGGAAATATTTTTATTTCTCTTATTTCGTAATAGTTATATAATTAGTATTTATGCAAATCAAATCTACTATACAAATAAGAAAATAATAAAACAGAAAATAAGTCTCTCATATAAATAGGAAGAGAAAAAGGAAACAAATAAACTAGATAACTTTCTAAAATATATATGATTTGATTTGGTTCAAATTTATTTCCTAAACTTATTCTTACAAATTTATACAAATTCAACTATAAGATTTGATACTTAGTCCATGAGCAAGTACGCTAGTTGTTATCCAAAGATTTGATAATTATGGTTCTAATAAAAAGAGATTTCTCATAATTCAAATAGTTGCTAACTAACTCAAATTTATAATCTCCTTTAGATTTTACAGACAAACACATTTTTGAATGGCTAGTTATAAATAACTTTTGGATCGTTCTCTAATAAAAAAATATATTTTTTATATAGTTATAAACATTAAAAAAAATACATTTGAAATTTAGTTTCCAAAACATAATTATCAAAGTTCCAAAAGCTAAATTTTAGAACCAATTGAACAAAAAACCATAGAATTTAATTTCTAGAATGCATTAAACACATTTCAAAACTAATTTTTGCAAACATCACAATACTTTAAAGAAAGAAAAAAATCACAAATGCAAATCTTGTTAGTTAGGAAAACAAAATATGTATAGGGATTTATAGGTACATAATGTCTTATTAATTAGGAGAAATAAAACATCTTCTAATCATATATATCGAATGAAATAAATCTATATAAACATTTTTATAATATAATAAGACACATGGTTTCAACACACCTTTTATACAATTTCAACACATTTTATACCTATGCTCTTTCCTCTTAACAAGGCAGATACTAAGTAACAATAATAATAAGTGCACGAGCCAATAACAATGAATTTCAATATCACGAGATTTTTCAAGTGGGTTTTTGAGTCGTTAATTTTGCTTACTACATCTCTTTATCTTTTTCTTTTTTTTTCAAATTTTCAAACTCTATGTACATTGCCAAAAAAAAAAATGTAGCACCTTAAAACAATTAAAAAATGCCTTCAACTAATAATATTTTATCACATGACTGTTATGTCAAATTAATAGTCTTCTTAATAAGTCACATGATTGCCATATCATCTTTTAACAATTATACTTGTTAAAATGACAAGTTGAATGGTTAAAATAAGTCAAAAAACAATGTTAAGAAATTAAAAGTGAATTTCTTTTAAAATGAGTGACTAATATTAGTATAAAAAAAATTTGTTAGACTAAAAGTAAATTTCATGAAAAAAAATAAAAAAAAAACTAAAAGCATATCTTAAAAAAAATCATGTAATTGTCACGTCAAACTAGTTGTTAACATGTTGTAAAGGAGTCTCATAGAGCTAACTTACCTACAAATCAAAACAAGCGTGTAGAAATTTATGCATGCTTTTGCTTGAAACTAAGCTCAGATATCCAATATTCTGAGCAAGAAGAAACTTATTCCAAATTTCAGACTCTCCATGTATTCCTCCTACTCTTATCATCATGTATAGCAATAACATTTATTTTTTGTTTATATACAGAAATTAGAGTATGGAGATCACTAAGGAAGAAAAATGTAAAACCTAAATACTACCAATGTTGCAGACGAGGCCATCAAAAGTAAATATAAATTCAAAAGGAAAATGGGTCAATAGCATTATCCATCTCTGAACAGGTCATTGATACCGGGCAAGTAGCAAAATTTTATCTTGACTTTAACTCAGCACCATCTTCAATTTAATTGGTCACCGAAAGAAAGAAACTCACTAATGACTATTCTGAAATGACTATCCAAGGTCAGTGATCATATATTTTATGGACAAGCTTTCTGGATTTCCTCCACCATCGTTATAATTGTCGCTCTCCACTCAGTGAACTGTGCATCAGAGCTGAATAACTTATGCATGACACTTAATTCAACAGGACTTGCCTTTTTCAAGAATCCTTGTAACACCAATTTCATCTCTTCAAATGAATCACAACTTTCTCTGATGTTATCTTGTTCATGCTTTATCAAACCCACGCCAAATAATTTCGTCTTGACATCACTTAGAGAGTTACTTGAACTAGGACTGAACTTACAGTTATCAATGGCACTGTTTGAAGATTCAGAGACAACTTCTTTGTGATTCCAGTATTCGACGCATTGATGATTGGGATCCTGAGCTTCAATGGTCTGAAAAAGTTTTTCAGAATAAATTAAAACATCATAAGTCAGAACATGATACGCTACATTAAACTAGTGCAACAAAATTAGTTCAAGACAATATCCAATTTCTGAATTATATGATTATATTAGAAAAGAATGGTGTAAATATCTTAAACATCCGTCATGAGTTTTCATTACCTGAACAATGGAAGGTGAAAGAAATCCAAACATTTTATGACCAGTAATGCTCTGCAGAAGTTCCAAGGGAGGAAGTTCCATTTCACCTCTACTCCTTCGTCTCTTAATTTCATGATTTAGTTTGTCGAAAACTGTTTCCCAACAATTATCTGCTGAGGTGTTTGTGAAAGCCTGACTTGGATGTTCTTCCATGGTAACCTGAATGAATGAGAAAAAAAAGTATACTTAAACTGAAAGATATATCAGTGCAAATACCATAAAATTAAAAATAAAATAACAAAGAAATCAACTATCACTTGGTTTTACTAATATTATTTTAGATTGTCAATTCCATGAATTTTCAGACATCATTGATGTGCATAAAAATTTCTGTTCAATGAAAAATTAGCAACAGCTGAGTTTCTCCAGAAAATATCTAAGAAAAATTGCAAAAAAGAAGACAGCACAATAGTCATCCCAATAATATATAATGGAACATCAATAACTTTAAAGTTTAAGATGAAAGGAGATTATTAAAAAATGGAATTCAGCTGCAGCATAATAAAGAGACATTTTCAAGGTGATTAAAATAATTTAAATAAAGAAAATAAAAATATGATAGCTCAACTCCCAAATCCTTGTGCAAGCTAGAAAGAGAACCCCTTCCCCCTCTAAAGAAAACATCAACTGAAACCCACAAAAAAACCTAAGAAAGCAACCTATCCCACATTCCCACAAACATTGTGTTGATAGATAAAAGTCTTTTCTGAAAATATTTAGCATTGTATTTTATACAAATGAACCGTACTACAGCCAACGGAAGCCTTGAACACAAAATTACAAGCCTGCTGCACCTAGAGAGAAAAAAAAAAAAGGATTGAAGAGAGATACCCATAATTTTTTGTGAATAAGTGAATAGCACTGTAAACCTTAACTCATATTTATTTTATTAAATAAGTTGTGTAATACATATATCTAGAAACAGAAAATTGTCGATATTATTTTAAATATAAAACAGAAACAAGGACAGGAATGATACCTTGAAAAGAGGCCCAAGAAATCCAGCATCGAAAACTTCAGAAAGATAGTTACAAATTCTTGGTGGATCAAGAATGCTGAAGAACTTAACACGACTTTTGTATCCTTCATAAATTTACCAAAACAAAGAAAATGTTAAACTCATACAAAAATAATAGAATGTATAGTACAAGCCCAGAAAAGAACCTACTGCAGCTTACCTTTTGGATATATTGCATGCTTACTGCACCACAGCTTTCCAAACATAACAGAGCCGAAATTTACAGGCTCAACAACAATATCAAACTTCTGCATTAAGAAGCTTTGGTTTGTCAAAGATATACTTGTATTGGAGTTTTCGACATTGTGCATCTTAAGTACATTGTTGAGTTTCTCTCCATAATCAGAATGCCTCTGCAGATCCACCCCAAACAATTTATAACCATCAAGTGTACAAGAATTTTGACCATCCCTTGAACATGATTCTTTCTCCAAGGATGCAATACAACCAGCACCAGGTTCCATGTTGTCTTGTTCCTTTCTGGTTTCTGCATAGAAGACTTTTTCCACTTGTGGAACACCCTTATTATGATGGTAATCAGCAGCATGCAGAAAATCATTTCCAGGCTCGCCAGATATAACATCAATATTCAAATCCACAGAACCTCCCTTCTCCACCTTAACTTCATTGCCCATGACCAAGATTTTTTTATTTAAATTATCTTTATGACAATTTTTAGTGTCATATGGTGCACTTAAAGTTTCATAGTGAAACTCTGAGTGGACTAACTCTGCAGAAATGTGACTGCCAGAACTGCTTGGTATATTTGAATTTGACTTATCATTAGTTCCTGCACAATAAGTTGAATTCTTCCCTTCTTTGTAACTCTGGGTCTGGCACATGGCACTATCCATATCTTGTTTACACATGCAAGCATCCTTGGCAGTAGCATAAACCATCCCAGTGTTTCTATTTGACCACATCTCAATAGCATGCGATTCTCCTTCTAATGCTTCAACCAATGTACTTAGTTCATTCATAGTATAACGAACCAAAACAAATTTTTTGCCCATTTCACATGAGCAAAACAAATTTGCATGCCTGAGACAAGAATAACTATCGGGAGAGCACTTGCAACCTACAGCAGATAGGTGCAAGTCATAGAAGCAAGAGAAGCATTCCCTTTCCTTAAAAGAATCAAACTCACTGTCCATCTTCAGAATCTTTAAATGAGTTGGAAGACAGTCAAGCCTCTCCTTTTCCATAGTTATCCTTGTCTGTCAAAAAATAGGATAACAAAACGTTAAAAAAAAATGAAATGAAGAACAGATACTTGCATCAGAACTAAAATTAAATAATAAATGCCCATTGAAGTGTTATGAAGATTTCAAAATACGTGGAATGGTTATGATCAAAGAGAAGAGAGTATGCAAAATCATTACCTTAACTGCCTTGGTAAGAACTCCATCTTTCCCACAAGCACTTGTCCATTTTATATATTTTGGATTTTCTTTTCCATGAAAAGTTCGCTGTGCGAGGGCATGCACGGCTTCCTGAGCACATCCAAATAATAACTTGTCATGAGACAGAGAAGTCTTACGGCACTGCAGACTGTAAAGCTCAGCAGCATTCTGTCCATGCACAAACCAATCAAAAGGAGCCACATTCACAGCCTCTGCACAGTTGAAGCCACAATTGAAGCCACAGTGGTATGCCCTTGGAAAGGTAACAACAAATTCCCCGACATGCTGGACAGTGCGATGCACAGGCACCCCCTCAGATTTAAGAATTGAAGGAGATAACTGAGTCACCTGCTCCAAGATGAAATCGTAATGACTAGAATCATAATACAGCTCCCAAACTCTACTACACAAAGAATACTAAAATATCTAACTCTTGAATGAGATATGATCAGATGTGCTAGACAGTTACTGAGAGATAAGAAAGTGTGCTTTGGTAGAAACAGAATTGTCATATTCAGCATGCTACAAAACAATCTTTAATATACCTTTAAGTAACTAAGGATAACTTGAAAAATGCAGGTGATATGACCTAGAGTGTTTTACCACCACGCCGAAAGCTTGATCTATTAGCAAAGGTGCAACTTTTAACATATAACATCATGCCATTAGACACTGACTCGTCCCTTATTTTATATCTATTTTATATCTACTCGCACAAGGGCTACTAAGGCTTGAAGTGTGGATAGTTAAAAGTCTATCATATCTAGTGCTAAAATTGAACTTAATTATCAAGAAGGGGGAAATAAGGGTCAAAATCTTGATCACTTGTTCATAGTGACTTAAATATTATGTCATGGATTGGATAACCTAAATACATGTGTTGCCAAGTGGAGGCCCAAAAATAGTTTTTCATCTCCAACACAGGGCGAACAACCCTGGGGGATCAGAGCGTCATGCCTTTAACTAAAACATGAAGTGACACTCTAAAGTCTGTGTTTATGAAATTTCTATATGGAAACAGAATGAAAGCAACCGAAAAACTGAAATCAATGAGGGAAGTACAAATCCAAGGAGTATACCAATTCATTGAGTAGATTTGGTTGTTCTTCAAATAAATCAGGCAAGTACTTTCTCATCGCATCTTCCAAACCTGGAGCATGGCTTCCAGGTACTCCATACCATACTTTTGGGTCACCCCAATGCAGATAATTAAGTGAATAAAGATGATGGTCCTCCACATGCTGTTCCAAGGAGAGGAAATGAGAAAAAGGTGTTAGTTTTTATAGGAAAGTGTGAAGATCTGAAACAAAAGAAATGCAAAATTCAAGACATTATTACTTGCTTTATAGCTCAATATTTCAAACAAATCGACATTAAGCAGTGGAACCTAAAATATTATGAGAGAATGCATGCTGAGGATTCTATTATATTAGACATGATTCAGTAATCATGCAGTTCATAGTGACCCCTGTCTATATTCTAGTCTATGTCTAATACTAGTTCTAGTAGTTTATCTTCTCCATTGAACATTTAATTAAATTATATTTTTTATAAAAGAGACAGATGTTAAAAATTTCAACTCAGCTTTCATGAAAAATAACTACAAACTACATAACTCAATAGACTAATACAGAAAGTGATTCAAATGAAAATAAGTAATAATATCTTTTATGCTTTAAACATTGTTCTTTTGTAGATTTAGACTTCAAAAAAAAACGTAGTTCTCACTACTTACCCAGCAAAATGAGGAAAAGCACATTCCAACATACAGCCATGGAACTACAACTCCTGAGATATCACTTCCTTCAAAACATAATGCAGAACCTGGCAATCGAGGGAAGTTATTCAGATTCCAGCCAGACAGAGCATACAAATCTGAATCATTCTTAGTTAAGGATGATGTCTTAGGAAAACCACTTCCAAGTGCTCCTGTTTCCAAGTCAGCTCCATAATACACCTACAAAAAATAACAAAATAATATATAATTTCTTTGCTTAATTATGTGACAATAACACTAACAATGTCATCAACAAACTGCAAATAGTACCTCAACCTCATCGGTTGGTTTCTCTATTATTCGCCAGTATTCGCCTTCAATTTCCTCCACAGAGGGCCCCCATCTCTGCTGGTGACTATTATAACTAACTTTTCCATGTTCATTGGTGCCATTCAATCCAAAATAGCAATTTTTAAAAACATTAGCATATTGCTGAAAGTCTTGAAGTGTGAAAGCTGACCCTGATTGGAATCCAAACTTCTCATCAGGTTCAGAAGCAACATTAGCTTCAGAACCTGATTTGGCAGTTCTCCTACCCATGCCCATCTTTGACTGCTTTCTACGTTTTCGTTTCCTTCCCCTAATTTTCTTTTTCATGGGCTCCCTGTTCTGAAGCAAGTCAACTTGCTGAATACGAGTGGGAAATTTTGCATTTTCCCATAAATCTTTCTCCTTAAGAGGGCAAGGTGGTACCCAGCAAGCTGGAGGGACGATTCTACATATGCCATAAGGTTCAGCTTGGGGGCGAATCTTAGCTAAGTAGCCAAGTGTGTCTTCAAACTCCTGATAAGAAGAGTATAAACAAAAAGGTTAATTTAAAATACAATATTACCACCACCAAAAGCTATAATAATAATATCACAATTATATGCACCTCGATAGTTGGATAAAACACAGGTGCTTCATCAATTGTAGGCCGACATGCTCCAAGCGGATCCCATCTGGCTGCTATCTGCAGCATGACAACAATATACATATAAAATAATTTTTAAATTGATTTTTTCTTTTGAATATCCATACTGATATTTATAGGAAATATGTTTAAAAGACTGAAATTAGTATCTGATTTCATTGAGTACACCAAGACACAGTCACAGTGCAGTTGATCATGCTAAATACCTTTCTATGTCGTGGACTGCCAGAAGACTCAAGTGCATTTTCCATTTCTGGCTTATTTCTAAGAGGATTGTCCTGCAAAATATCACGTGTAAGAATGCTAAATTTGTTGACTCAATAAAAATTTATTGGAAGAAACATCAAAATCTAGCAAAGATCCATATTATTACAGCCACAGTATGTCCTTTCCAAAGGGATTGATTCAAACACTGTAACAGCTTACAGCTTAATTTCAAAGAGATTGAACTGAAAGTGTACATAAGTAAAAGTATGAAGGCACAAAGATAATCAGTGAATTGCAATCTCATGAAAAACAAATTAAAGAAATAGCCAAGCATTTGTGTTACACCAGCTAGAAATCGTGTGGAATTTCTGGAGTTTCTGGTAAAGCCAGAATAATGACTCGATCATGCAGTTAGTGCCATCTAATCTTCTAAAACAAGTCATACAACTTTGATGCCCTTTGTTTTGTTATACTTGTTAGGTATCAGCAGTGGAAGCCATGAGATAGATTTTAAATTTGATTGAAGTCCCAAGTAGGACCTCTTATTTGCATAAGCTTCCTCAAAAAATTCCCAAAATCAAATATAAAAAGAAGTGAGAAAGTAACAGTATTGACTTTGCTGCAGGATTGGAGATAACTCTCAGAATTAAAAGATAACAGGATGCCACCTTGTAGAAACCAAAACTTCAGTATCATAGCTGAATAAAAAACACTTGAAACGATGACTGAAAGATTCACTAAATTTAAGTAAATCGCATTTTCATAGCTCAAAAAAGAATGCTACCTCTTATTTTTAAGCTTTAACAAGATATAGAATTAGATTAACATTTTCAAATTTCAAATGCATGCAATGCTCATGAAACTGTATAACAAAAATGCAATTCAATACAAAACCGCGATCGAATGCCAGACATAAAACGTTCCAAAATGCTAAACAAATTACTTAGTCATCAGACCACCTGAGTGGGAAATTTCCAATCTTTCCAAACCCCAGAAAAGAAAAGTCATATAACATGTAAAGGCCTGCCTACAGTAAAAAGCTAAGGGTTTACAATTCCTGGGTAAATTACCATCATCCTTCTGGGGAGCAGAAATTAGCACAGCAACTAAACTAGAAATACCAAATGTGAAACAGCAATAGCTATCACAACACAATCACAAAGTCATAAGCAGAATGAGAAAAGATTAAAAAGAAAGAAAGAAAGAAAGGAAAAGATACAACAAAATAGCATCAGTTTTCAAATTCCATAAACAAGGAAAAGATCTGCAATTTGTTGTGATCCATAATAACAGAGGATAGAAAATTTAAACAGATGAACAGCACACGACTAAGAAACGCTCTAAAACACATAGCACATTGCCAAGGTTTACATCCAATAGAAAGAAAGAAAGAAAGAAAAAACCAACCTCTTTGGCGTGAGATTCTGCAGCCAATTTCAACTGTTTCATTCAATGCAAATTGTAAAATGAAGGATAAACCCAATTGAACAAGTTATGCAGCCTGCAACGAGAACAGAGACCATTGTAACTAACCTTTTCAGAGTCCCAATTAACCAAAGAAATATTCCACAAACAGTTTCCCACTTATCTATTACCCAACTAACTGACCCCAAACAGACCTTAAAAACTGCTAAAAGCAAAAACAAAAACAAAAACAAAAATAAAAACAAGAAAAGAAAAGCAACAACAAATGCAGAACGCAAACATACTCAATGCAGCAAAGTTCTTCGCAAAAAATTGTTTCCACCTTCTGAATTGAAACGACAACTGTTGCGTACAGAAGAATTAACCACCAAAATTCCTTCACAAATCAACACATCAAAGAAAACCCAAATGCAAATTCAATTGCATGTGTATATTATTATGATTATTGTATCTATCTATGTATGTACCAATCAATTTAGCAAACCCCAAAATTTTTTGTACAAATTGAAAAAGAATAAAATTCTACAAATCTTGGATTCTAATGCCCCAAATCAAATATTTGAGTGGCACGTAAGATAAAAATAGAAACAAAAGAATAGAGTGGGCTTAAAAAAAATGTAATATATTTTGACAGGTGGAATGGGAAAAAAATAAATTGATAGTTATTGGAAATAATGAGATGGATACGGGGCCCCAGCTAAAAACCCAACAGTGGTTACACTTACTCATATACAACAACACAAGACTTTAATTCCATTAATAATGATAATAACTCTTTTTTACCCAACAATTAAGAATGTAAAAAATGAAAATAAAATTATTGATACACATGAATATTCATAGATAAAATTTATTATGAATAAAAAATAAATATTATAAATAAATAATAAGTTATATATGTAAACTTCACTTCTATTTATTATCTACTAAAAATGTAACAATAATACTATCACAAGTGCACCAAACCCCGTTCATCCAGATTATACATGATTGGTTTCACTAGCTAGTATAAATGGTAATTAATGAGATCCTTCAACATTAACAAGAGATTGACACAAAGTCACAAATATTCAAATATAAGAACAATACCAGCACATTAACCTTTTAATTTTATACCACAAAGATAACCTACCCGCATAAGCTGCTGAACAAAAAGGGTAACATCCTTTCCAGCAATAGGAATCGATTTGATGCTACTACCAATAACATAACCATCTGCAACAGGTACAACATGAGTAGCCCCATCTCCAACATCCACTACAACTCCTGTCATCTCACACTAAAAAGAATTCCAGATCAGCCTAAGAGGAAAATATTCTTAAAATAAGACAGATACAATAAGAAACAAAATTTCTTGAAAGCTCTTACGGCACTGTTATTAAGTTCAAGTATAATTATACATAGTCAACATAGCATTTTGGATTTAACATAATGAGGGTAGCTGATGAATTATTCTATTCACTAGTAATGATGCAAAACCACCACAACAGTTCATATTCACAGTAAAGTTCACTTTGGGTTTCAAGTAAAAGCATCCAAAAGTGTCAAATTGCAGGGGCTAATGAAACATTCTGAGCATTTTGTGTTTAGATAGCTACCAGACTCGTTGCTGCTGAGGCCATAATAAATATGTAAAGCATTCAAGATTAATCACACAACTCCAATTCTATATTCAACATAATTCACAATTTTTTTAGCGTGTACCAATTACCAACCTTAGACGTTGTGTATCCAGCGGCAAGGGCAAGCACAGAATTCACAGCAATGTAAAGTCCAGGCACGTTAAAAGTCTCAAACATGATTTCCCCAGTATACTCGCGACTCTCAGGCGCGGTCAACGGACTCTCAGTCAAGAGAAAATAGTGATCCTCCGGATCACACCTCAAATAGTTGAATATGCACTGCTGCCAGAAGCGCTCCATGGCATCCCAATTCTCAACCTGACCATGCCGAATCGGGTAGCTGAGATTGTAAGTACTGCTAGATCGAGACTTGGAAAGTGCGTCATCCCCAATGAAGAAATCAAGATCCGCCATAACCCCAGCATTGTGCTGGGCAACCCAATTGCCTTTAGAAGAGCTCCTAGATTGATTCAGAAACGACTCATTAAGTGCAACCACTGTCGGAACAATAAAACATGGCTCAACATTACCAGCAAACCCCATCTTCGTATACCTGCAAAAAAAGACACCATTTTCCAAATTCAGAGTAAACCCAAGTCACAAAAGTAAGCAAACATCGGTGGAGCATTTCAACAAACACGTGGTGTCCATTATCGATGCAGCAAAAAAAGCCACATATTGCGTAGAAGAAAAACTGGGTGATGGAAAGGGAGGAAAAGGGTACCCGGAGCCATTATCGATGACTACAGCTGGACGAGAAGTAGACGGGTCCATGAGAAAGATATATATTCAAAAATATTAAAAATATATATATAAATATTTACTTAATGAATATTCGTACAAATGGAAAGACTAATATAAGATAAATAGTTATTCAAGAAAATGAATAATAGCGATTATTAGTTTATTATCTAAATCCACTCTATACCCACTTCACCTCAATGACATTCCTATCAACAACCAAAAAAATAAATAAATAAATAAATAAAAATAAAAAATAAAAATAATATTATTATTAAAGGGGAAAAAGAAGATATTTTTATATCTTTGAGAAAATTAGGGGACACGAAAGAAAGTGAACTGCTGTCTGCTATGGCAGCTGCTAAGATTCTAAACTGAAAGACGTGTAAGTGTACTTGAACTCGAACACTTCTGCTCTTATAATAAAAAATGAAAAATAAAAATTGTTGCCGACTTATAAATTTTAATTAATAACTTAATTATCTACTTCTAAGATTATGCTTTCAAAAATAATGTACCAGCAATGAGTTAGCATTGATTTAAATCTTATTTTAGTATCAAATATCATCGATAATATACTAAATAAAAATCATAACTAATTCATCGTTTTAGAACCTCTTTCGGGATTAGATAAAAATAACCATCTTTAGTAAAAAAATCATTAATAAATATATTTATAATACATTTTTTATTAAAAGATGTCGTACTAATATATCGTTTTAAAATTGATTGATGATAAAATTTCTTAAATATTTAAAAAAATATATTAGATTTTATCTTTTCATTTTTAGATAATCATGTTAATATAATTTATTTTATATTCAAAATTAGAATTTAAATCATGAATACTTTAGTTAATGAACACAAGTCAGATCATTTATATCAATCAGGTCGTCTTTCTTTCAAAAAAAACATAAAATAAAAGAGAAAGTAAGTCCAATAAATTATCAATACAGTTAAAATTGAACTCATAATCTTTAAGCAAGTATCGGGTTCAAGTTAAATGAAACATGATTAAAAAAACTATACTAAAAAATAGCTATTCAGGTTTTTCCTGTAAATAATAATAGTAGATATCATATGTAATTAAAATAAAAAATAAAAAAAAAGCAGGGATCAAAAGACTATTACAATTAAATATTGTTATAAATTATAGGGGGAAATCACAGTCTAATAGCATGTTTGAATACCTTAAAAATTGAGGTAACCATTAATGGATTTTCCTTGGGTTGAGCACAAGTTGCAGGAAGGGGATGATTATTTTAAAGATGAAGGTATTAAGGAAAAGGGATGGAAGAAAGCAACGAAGCACATAATGAATCTCAGCTTGCTTTCTTTCGGAGTTTGGTTTGTTTCACAAGTTGGCCTTACTACTCCTCATTACAAACTTTTTCATTTGCTATTATAACCATCACTTGGATTTTCTGCCATACTTGCATTTTTTTACTGATATATATATATATATAAAGTTTTTTTAGTGCATATATCTTTATTTTACTTTTTTTTCTTAGACTAATTTGCTTGAGACGAAATGTAAATAAAATTTAGTTAAAAATTATTTGAATTCAAATACTATTTATACAAATTAACTATTTATATCTAATTAGTTTACATTTTAATAACATATTATAATTAATTTAATTTTTTTTATTTTTTGGTTAAAAAATCTGATTAGTCATTTTTAGTGTGAAATATTCTCTTAATCACATTCTTTCATTCATAAAATTTAAATTTGATATTTTCCTTTTAAAAAAGTATAATACACTTATAATAATGATTTATGAATCACTTATATTTAAGTGTTTTTTTTCTTTCGAAATATCGTATTTATCATTCTACTAGTATGTAATAAATAAAATATTATATGTTATGAAGGGTCTTAGTAACAAATAATGATATTAAACTAAGAATATAATTATTTCATGAATAGGACTAAAAGATATTATTTAAGTATATTTTTATCTCAAATTTTGGATAAGTTGAATAAAAAAACTTTTAAAAAAATTAAATTAGCATAAATTAATTTTAATTTTTAAAAATATTTTTATACCATTACTTTTTCTCTTATAAATACCTATTGAGAAATTGATCTTATTTGGATCTTCATTTTTACAAACATATTTACACAAACTATGTATACTACACTACAACATTTGTTTCATTTAAGGGTATGTGGATCTTATTTAACTATATATAAAATCTTAATTGAACTACTTTTTAGATCCGGTCTTAGCTAGCCTAGTAATTATGATCAGGTCGACTAAAAATTTAAAAGAATATGTAAAAGTATTTATTATAGCTGAGCCATATAATTTTGTAAAATTTAGTAATTTAAACTATAAATATAAAATATATATACATATATATATATATATTCATAAACAAAATATATCAATATATAAATATATCTTGGAATATATAAATTTTATTTTAAGAATAACATTTTATCATTAGTTTGGCAAAATTATATGCTTTAAAAATTATGTAATCTATACCAAAGAAAAAAAAAAAACATTATGTAACATCAAGGAAAGTTAAAATAGGCTAGCTGAGAACATAAACCGAATTTGAAAAGATCCTATAGAAAATTTTTTGTAGAGGGTGATAATCTTAAGGGGAAGGTTAAGATTAAATTCATAGAATATGTTTGAAAATAAGTTGGATGTATTTTTTTTTATTGAAAATAAAGAATATTTTTGAATAAATAAATTTTTTTAAATATTTAAATTATATTCAAATATGTTCATAGTGTACGTTGGGTTTATCGTTGAAACCCTATAAATTTACATTAAACAAAGAAAAAAATCTTAACTTGGTACGTTAAAATATGTGAATTTTTGTTTACATGATAGAAACGATTCGAAACACACTCTTGAATATGTTTCCTATTTGGGAAGGTTTTTCTTTTTGGTAAATATTTGGGAAGGTTGATTACTGTTAGATTTGATGTTTTTAAAATTAATAGGTCGATTTTTCCCCCTTCTACAACACCGTCCAAACAATGAGCAAGCTCATCCCAGACAGAGCCCACAAGCCCATTGTGAACATTCCTTTTCTCAGCCCAACCTCTTCACCACTTCCTTTTCGAGCCCAAACTGAAACTACTATAAAAACTCGTGGATTTCCATCGCACACACCCCAAAACTAAAACCTATTGACCACATTCTGAACATTCATTTCCTTCGTCTCTAAGAAGAGAATGTGATTTTTTTTTTAAAGGAATTCAAAATACTGATAATTCAAAAAAAAAATCAAAAGTATTTTTAGCAAATAATAATAATATACAGTTCAAAACAAAACACAAATTGAATAACAATATGAAAAGATAATATGTAAAAAAATCTTATACTCAACTCTTCAATTATATATTTTCATCTATATATGTTTGAGTTGGATCTGTCCTCTAACTAAGATATATCTTTCACATCTAAGTATAAAAATATTTTCATATATCTCGATTAAAGTTAACAGTGAATGTATGTATTGTAGACATAAACATCATTTTGAATTATATTTTTTCTATGTGAACTTTATTTTCTCTTCATAAAACATCTATATTCTTTTAATAGTCTCATCGAACCTTTCTCTCTTCAATATTACATCTTTCACATTTTTTGGGCATGTATCTCTTTTTCAAAAGTAGATACTTTATCTAATCTATAATATTACTGTTGTGAGAGGGGAGCAAAACTAAGAGCATTTTAAAAAAGATGAGGCAATATAAAGATAATAAAAGTACATGACATAATGTATCACACTGCACTAAACACAGGTGCATATAGAAAGCAGAATATGATGCATTAAGTGTAAGCATGCAGATGCTAAATGCGGTTTAGCTTGAGCAGCTTGGTGATGGACATGACAGTAACAACGAGGAGGAGAATGATGCCAATGAAAGATGCAACGAGGGCACCACCACCTCGGTTGCAGTATGCTTCGAATTTGTCACATATCTTCTCCCATCTTGCATGTGAATTACCATTCCTTCCTAACTCTGCCATGAATGTTGCTGCACCATCTCCCGTTGCTGCCAGAGCCATAATCATCTTCACCAAAAACTATATATAGTCAAAAACACTTTTCATATACTATTACAATAAGACTAGCTAGCTATTTTATTTATCCATTAAAATTACAATGTTTGATACTAGATTCAATTTTAAAATTATGTGTACGTTATTTCAACTCTTTATCATTAAATTGATTGTAATAGATCATATTAACTATTTTAAGAAAAGTATCAAATAAATGAAAAATTGTGTAAAATTTGAAGGTACCACGTCTAATATTGCAATGAGTCCAAGGCGAAGTCCTTTGTAATCATATTGGGGTCCTAATATATCCACTGCTATCACCATCAAGCTATAGACACTGGCAATTCCATTCACTATCACGAAGAATCTGCCTCATCGTAAATAAATAACATATACACAAGAAGGTTAAAATGTCTAATATAGTAATAGTTGCAATTCTAAGAAGTTATAAACGAAAACAAAGGGAACTTAAATCATGATTTGTAGAACTAACATAAAAGCAGGAGTGTGGTTAAACTTGGCAGTAAGGGGAATTGTTACTGGGGTGGTTCCAATGGTGGCAACTACCAAATTTTTGGTTTGTTTGTTAAGTGCCATAAGAAGTGTAGCAGATGCTGTGGCCAAAAATGAGATCACCCTAAGGGACAAAAGGACCCACTCCTTGTTGGGCTTGGGATCAGGAACAGCATTGAAACTAAGATCTAACTTTTCACCATTTTCTGAGGCCATTGAGCAAGTATTGGGCACTTCCTGAAGTCAGAAAATGAATGGAGATAATGCAAATGGCATAGGGGGATGGGTTATTATAGATTGGATAAAGCAAAATTGATCAACCATATCATTTGTTAAGTCTAAGAAGCTAAATCTGGGTTCTATGGGAATTCCTAAGGTTGTCTAACCAACTAAATTCAGTTGTTGTTAATTGGTGAGAAATATTATCTGAGTAGCTGCAACTCCATCATTTCAATTGAATCATGTAGCATAAAAAAATAATAGAGAATGTAGTGTTTCATATATCATACACACCCGGAAGTGAGAATTTTGATGGAAGAATTATTATTATTACTACTATCTAGCTAGTACGATGATGATGATGTTAGAACTTCTTAAGTATTTTTTCTTAAAAAGGAAAAAATATAAATCCATGCGATTGATTTATGAATCGATGAGCATGTAAGGTATGAATAAATTAACATATTGTTACAGGTTCAAACTTTATTTATAGTAGCTGCGTCCCCATTGAACTTTGACATTGAATAAATGAAGATGTGCCGTGTGCGTGGTGTGGGTGACATTAATCGGGCTTATCTAAATCAACAAGTCCCTATTAGAGGGTAAAATAAGTAATTTTAATTTTGTACTACTTTCAAGCTGACTTTTTTTTTTCTTTGAACATTATCTCGATTTCATTTATTGCAATCTTTTTCTCATGTCTTATTCTCTCAACAATATAATTATTGTTTTTATATTTAAATATTACTGTCATCTAGACTACATTAAAGTTTCTTTTTTTCAAAAGCTTATTATATTTACATCACGATATTGATATTTTGATGCAAAATACTTTATTGATATTGAATTTATTAAAAAAAATTAATTATTAACTCTTCTTTACTATGCTTAGATACCAACCACACCGTAAGCACGATAAAAAATAATAATAAAGCTATTTTGTCTTTTTAATACACATTATGAGAAGATATTTTTTTTTTAAAAAAATAAATTTAAAATTATTTACAGTGAGGACCATTTTAAGCAAACATATTATCTTCAATAAATCAATAGATGTCATTATATAAATATATAAACAAATTCAACGGTTATCGATGAAAACATGAATCAACTAATAAAGTCTATGCAATTATTATGTTAAATGTTTGAATAAAAAACTTTGTTGTATATAGTAATCTTATTTGACTTGAAAAATATTATCTACAAAGTTTACGATTTGACTTAGATTGATTTTGAATATGATTGACCTAATGATAAGGTTCTTAAAGTTTAAGTTTTAGGTTCATTAATAAAAATTTATTTATTATTAGTTTTAAAATTTTTATATAAAACAAAAAAAAATCATATGTATTAACAAAATACCTCATATATTTTTGCTTTCTCTGCTTTCTTTTGTATTCCTACGTTAAAAGAAATACTTCATATATTAACATCCTGATTTTTCAGGTAAAGACTTATTTCATACAGTCATTTGAAAAAACCTGTACTTCAAAGAAAAATCAAATTTAATCAATCAAATATAATCTTTTATGAATTTGATTAAATAAATGGTTTCAATTTTTAATTTATTTTTTGAGGGGAAACTATTTATATTTTTAATCACTAAACAAATGAAATTTCATAAGATTAGAATTTCGGACCGGTACAAATTCCTCTATTAGTTAATTTTTCAGTTAAGGAAAAATACTTATTATATACTAAAATAAATATAAAAAATTATTCAGATATTAAATTTCATCATAAATGGTGCCATAACTTTGCATTTAACTTACGAATAGCAAGTGAAAATGATTTCAATTTTATGTTAAGATAGAATTGGAAAATATTACAAGTTTACTATATTCATGGTTTTTTTTAATCAATTTGAATGGAATAAATAAAATGAAGTTTGCTTGTTTTCAAATTTTTCAAACAAGGATTTTAATGATTTATTTGATTTTTATTGTTAAAATAAATTTAGTTTTCTTTTTTACTGAGACCTTGTTTAAGGTGAAAATAAAAAAACGATACCACTTGGTTTATTGTTTTTTTAATTTTTTTTTAGAGCAGTTTCATATGTTGAATAGTTTGAATCAAATTCTCAAAAGTTTATCATTCTAGAATAAGCAAAAAGGTGACTTTAAATTACTGTCAAGGGACATTTTGCTTATGCGTTACGAAGAAGTATACTATATTTTAGGTTTAATGCTTTAATTAATCATCTAAATCAACATCATTTTGTTTTAGTTTCAATACTTACAAATTTTAAGTTTTATTCTCTGTACAAACATTTTTTTTACGTTTTAATTTCAATGTCCTTATATGGTTAGAAAATTCATAATATGGACTAAAATATATATAAAAAAAATTACTCGTATAAAAATTAAAACGGATAATTTTGAATATAAAAACTTAAACAAAAAGATAATTCAAGTATAATAATCAAAGAATTAATTAAACTTATATTTTATGATTTTCAATCTCATTTATATCCTTTAAAGATAATTATTTAAAATGAAAATAAAATAAATATATCAATTAGATACTAATTATTATATGCACATCTATCTATTTATTTTTATAGATTAAATATGTTTTGTTCCTTAAATTTAAGATAAATTTATTTTTTATCTTTCAAATTTAAAACTATTTTTTTAGTCATATAATTTTAAAAAAATTATTTTAGTCCATTAAATTACCAATAATACATTTAAAGGTTACATATTAAAACAATTATACAATATTAATTGAGTTTAATGTGATATTTTCAGTGATAAATGTACTAGTAAATAAATTTAATGCGACGATGTTTTACATGTTCTCTAACTAATTATTATACATATATGTGTCTATTTATTTTTATGACTTGAATATGTTTTTGTCCATCAAATTTAAGGTAAATTTATTTTTGATTTCTTAAATAGTCATGTAATTTTAAAAAAAATATTTTAGTCCTTTAGGTTACTAATAACACATCCAAAATCTTATTATAGTCTGTATAATTTTTGAAATTTTATTTTAATTATTATACTTAAATTTTGTTAAAAAATCTGTTAAACGATAATGAGTGTGTTTATTTTTTTTATATAAAAGTATTTTTTAAATAAAATAAATATTTTTTATTCTTTGTGTGTTTGGTTAAACCTTTTTTTTTAAATAAATATTTTTTTTTTATTTTTTTAGAAACAACTCTTGTATGTTTTTTAAAGACTTGTTTTTTTTTTAACTTCTTATTTAGGAACACTCCTTATTAAGTTTAAACAAATAAATCTAATATATTCTACCTTAATAATTACTGTTTTTTGAGGCAATCTACCACCACTTTTACAGTGAAATTTGACTTCATGCTCCATTTCTCTCCCATGAGTAAGAACTCATGAAACACAAAAGTATCTACTATTATAGTGGTATCATTATCAATGTTCCTTTCTTCAAGATCAAAAATAACTATATTGATTAATTTAAGATTATCAAGATTATTGTCACTTATCGCAATTGTTACAGTAACCACAAATAGGACACCTCATTGGAGAAGATAAATTATTGGTCCAATTTTACTATTGATAATAGTCAAATATGACATTTCACAACTCGAAAAGGACGCACATGAAAAATATGATGAAATGTATTTTAAAATTTAATCTAAAAAATTAAAAATAATATATCTACGTGATAATAATAGAATGAAATATAAAAAATATAATATATATTTCATTTGTAACATAGAAATTTTTTTTTAACATAACGATAAAAATTATTTTTAAAATATTGTAAAAGATTAGGGATGAAATAATAAAAAAATTTATGAAAATTAAGAATGAAAAAAATATAAATTATATGAACCAAAAATTATATTTAAACTTTATTCTTTTCAACATTTACTTTTTTTTAATAGTTAATTTAAGTATGAATTATGACCTTTTATTTGTTTTGATAATATGCTGTTGTCATTTCTGTATGTCGCATATATTATATATATCATTCACAGATAAATTATTGTTAACGAAATATAAATTCTTTCATAAATCTATCCACAATTTATTTTGAATTATAATATGTAAATAACTACTACATACCATTATATAAGAAACAACTGTACGTCCCAATCCCACGCGTAGCATCGGTGCATGTTGTGGGAAAAATAAAAACACCTCATATTAGGACATATCCATTTTATGAAAAATAAGAAGTTGTTGATGAAATTAATTAATTTCATTATATGTATTATTGATGAAAAAAATATATTCAATTGTCCAGTTAAATTATTATTAGTACTTGATTTAAAAAAAAATATTTATTACAAAAGTTAAAAAATATAATTTTTATTTTACTATGTCTAAACAACAACAACAATAATATTTTTTTAACTATAATAAAGATGACAACTTTTTTGGATCTACACATTTTTTTATTTGAATCATTTTTTAAATTATTCTACAAATTATTTACACTCTTCTATTAATTACCCATTAATATATAATTTTTATAATTTTTTTTTTAAATAAAGAGACACTTCGATTTTTTTTCTAATATAATAATGATGATGAATTCAACAGATTAGTTTTTACCATAAATGAATAATAATAAAGCGAGTAATGTTTTATACTTTTATGATCATTTAAATGAATGAATGAATAATAATAATAAATAAATAATAAAAAGTGGACTAATAGTCGCTGAAGAAATTTCCGATGAGAAGATGATGAGGAAACATTGGTAGAAGAAATTGAAGAGAGAGAGAGAGAGAAAGAGGGTTGGATTGGTTTTCTTCTTCTTTTTTCCAAAGAGAATCTAATCTCAATCCTCAACCTCTTCATTAGTCATTACACACGTATCTTCTGATTTCTTCAATTCCTCCCTCAATCTTTTCTTTTCCTCCCTTCACATCCTCCTTTTCTCCGAAGCGAAACCAACAAAGATTTTAGTTTTTTGTTTTCTAGTTTTGTTATTTGGCTTGCTTCTCTGAATCGGTTGTTGCAGAAGGGTCGGGAGCCGCAGGTATTGTCAGATCTTTTGTTATTTTCATTATTTTATTTGTTTTTAATTTTCTGTTTTTGGGTTTTTTTGGGGTGTTTTGTTTGGTTATCGGAACCATACGTGTCGTTTTTTTTGGCATTTAATGTATTCGAAGCTTGAACATCTTGTTTCTCGAGCTTTGTGGTTGGTAATATTTGTCTGCAGAGCAGGTGCCGTATGTTTTTGATTTGGATCAGGCATTCTGGTGTATGGTTACCTGTTTTACTAGCAATGGGAATTTTGGTTAATTGATTATTGATTCAATTGTGTGTGACTTGTAAGGGGTTGTATTGTATGGTTTCATTTTGGTAGAGTTTCGTGGTGAATTGCGTTTAAATTTGCAGCTATGCAGAGCCAACTTGTGTGCAATGGTTGTAGGAGCCTTCTGCTTTACCCGAGAGGGGCAACCAATGTTTGTTGTGCATTGTGCAACACCATTACCTCTGTTCCTCCACCTGGTAATCTCATTGGCTGTTTATGTTATTGAAATTTTAAGATTAGGGAAACTTATATGTTATATATCGGTTTGTTTCCCTCTTCATCTGTTTGGTATGTGCTAAATTGCTAATTATTCAATTTGGAACAAATGTGGAAGATTAAGCTAGCAACAAATCATGCTTCTTGCTGGATTAATTATTTAATGTAGTCAGATACCATTTTGATGTTTATTCTGACGAGCCTTACCGTAATAACGCTCCAGCAGGGATGGAAATGTCTCAACTTTATTGTGGAGGTTGTAGGACATTGCTAATGTACACACGTGGAGCTACAAGTGTGAGATGTTCCTGCTGTCACACTGTAAACCTTGTTCCAGGTACTACTACATATTAGTATGCTGCCAGCATGTGATGTGAGGCTTAGTGGTATAGTACTGATTTTGGTGGAGTGTATGTTAATTTGCTTGTTAGTATAAATGTTCTATTTTATATTTGTGGTGATGTTTTGTTGGATTACTTGGTGGTTCAATATGGTTAATCATGAATGGTGTTACCGAATCCTAGTGTATCCTCACTGTTTATATTTTTTTTCTGTTTGTTGATAAGAGGCGGTAAATGGGGGCTTAGTGAAAGGTTTGATTGTTGGACCTGAGAGCATGGAGGTCTGTCACCTACAATTCAGTATTCACAGATGATACTGCTCTTTTGGACACAGATCAAAATAACTATTAAATGTGTTTACTTTTTTCTTTGCATCTCACTTTTGAGGTCATTTATGGTCTTTCTTAGTCTTGCTAAATGCACTTTGGCTGTTATCTGTGTTGTGAGTAATTTAGTAATGTTAGTCATTGAGAAAAAAAAAAACCAAAAGTTAGGTTGTCCACAAATTCTTTCTGGTACTGGTCCATTTGTTAATCTTAGTGTTTCATTGTGGGAAACTCTAGTGATCCTTTGTTTTGAGATGCTGCTGGCCTGCCGCTTAAGAAAATTGTTTCCAGCTGGGCAATTAGAAATAATATTTCTCTTTTTGGGAGGTCGTGTGAGCTTGATTCAGTCTTCCTCATCTAGTATCCCTCTCTACTTTCTTCTTGTTTGAAATTCCTCTAGTGTGTAAGATAAGATTGAAAAAATCATGTGAGATTCCTTTCACATGCGGTTTGAAATTGTAATAGGGTCATCTGATTATTTGTGAGTTTGTTGTAAGGCTAAAACAAGGATGATGGCTTAGTCTTGGTTGTTCAGTTTCTAAGAACATCACTCATGGAAAAATGGTGGTTGCTTCCCTTGGATAATTTATAGTATCTACAGTATTCACAACAACAGCTGGGATGCCAAGACTGCAACCTATGTTACATTTGCAATTCCTTGGAAGTTTTGAGCTGTTCAACTGTGATTTTGGACAGTGTGTTCACTTTTCTTGTCTTTGGCCGTGGTTTGTGTGAGTTTTTGTTTTCTGTAGGATTACAATATTGTTATTTCTTGTGTTCTTGGTATTTCATCTATTCTGACTTCCTTGTTTTTATCCTGTTATTTTCTGCTGGTTTTGGTTTTTATTCTTGTCATTCTCTGCTTATTTCTGCAAAAAGGTTTTAGATTAAAAATGGCATCTCTTGTAGAGTACTATGTCCAATGGTTGTTGTGATCGTAATTTTATTGTTATTGGGCCTGTGTTATTTTACATGGACATATATATTCTTGAATATAGTTTTGATAATAAGTAGGAACTGACATCTCATGTTACGATTTCACTTTTTACATTTTTACCTGTGTACTAGAGTTTGAATCCAAACTGTTTACTTCCATATCCTTTTCTGCAACACTCTAATGAAGCTAAGAACAAGCAGATTTGATGTAAAGAAAACCCCATATATCTATGACACTGTTATTGAGATTTTGAACTCATTGGGTTCATTATCTGAAATGAGGTTTGGTTTTGCCAAAATGCTTTCCAAAAAATGGTTGCAATTGGGATCCTAAGCTGATGAATGCATGTTGGACAATGGAGACAATGGAGGGAACACAAATGAAACAGAAATGGAGTAAATGATGAGAATAGTGCATGACTGTGAAGCCTTAAATGAGAAAAGTAGTAAAAGAATATGTTTCTGTATCAGAATTTCCCCCTCCTCCCCCCAACAAAAACAGAAGAAGCGACCTTCATCAATTTTCCTTCATGATCAATCAATAAATATGTTGATTTTTGACTTTTATCCTTGCTTTCATGCCTTTTTACAGTCTAGAGAAGAACAATCTTAAATCACACAGATATAAAAATAGGATTGTGTTATTAACTTATTATAATTGGCCAGCAGATGTTATGTTATTTATAGCCAGCTGCTTGTTAATCTGGCATTAAGTTTATTTCTTTGTTAAAAAAAAATATTTTTTCATAATCAATTTTTCACTTTCATTCTGGAATTTCGATATTCATAATTTTGAATTGCACTTTAATTATTAGTCCAAGTTTAGTGTTATTTTCATTCTGTCCATTTTATTCTTGGTGACTATGTCTATTTGTACTGATGAATGCAATTTGTTTACTCTTTTGAGCTACCTCAAGGACCTTATAGGCATAAAGTTTTACTCTCTCATATGATATAAGATGTTGGTGCTATGCAATGTTGCTTTAATCAGTTCTGTTTTCTTATCCTCATGTTAGTCCAATGATGAATTCCTTGTTATATTTCAATAACCTATGCTTATTATTTAATTAGCTGTTTACTGACTGTCTGTTTATGGGCTTTGTATGTTCATTATAAAGCATCTAATCAAGTAGCTCATGTCCATTGTGGGAACTGCCGGACAACACTCATGTATCCCTATGGAGCTCCCTCAGTCAAATGTGCTCTTTGTCACTATATTACCAATGTCAGTGTAAGTTTTTATTTATAGAACTATGTTAATCTGGCGATTGACTTTTTAGTTTCAACTAATGCTTTTAAGGTTTTAAAATGAAACTCAAGTGATTTTCTGTCCTTTGATCTGGGCTCCATTTTAATGTAAATTTATATGACTTCCTGCAGTCATGTTATTGTCAACTTTATTAATGCATTTAATGTCCATGGCCTCTTGTTTTCCCTCACTCAGAATCTTGTTGAGACTATGTATGTGCTAGAAATTAGGATTGATTGGATTTGAAAAATAGGAAGTTATGGCTACTTAGAAATTTGAAAAATCTTAAAATTCAGGAAAATCTGGTTTGTTGGTTTCTTTTCAGATCCTGAAACTCATTTCTCTCTCTTTGCTCTAAGACTATAAGAGACTTGAGACACTCTATGTATACTTGATTTCAGATTCAGTAACATCCAAGGTTCAATGAGAAAACCAACCACCATGTCCATACTTTTATAAAGAAATCAGTGCTCTGAATGGCTAAGGACTGAAAAGAGAAGCTAAAAATAATTTTTGCTTTGGAGTTAATTGGGGAGGAGGGAGAAGTTACTCAATTTTTGTTTACCAGTTTTTTCTACAAGATGCAATTGGGTATAGTTCATGGTCATGATCAAGCCTCGGGCATTTTGATATCAAGAATATAAAAAAATTTCATCGATTTGTACTATGAAGAGCACATTAACATCTGATTTTGGACCTTGGTCTTTGTCAAACTGTTCATATAAAAGTGTTTCAATAGGTCTTTCATACACAACTCCACTCCATTCCTTTTTTAAAATCATAGAAACAAGAGATTTCCTCTACCTTCCTCTTCTGTGCCATTTACTCCTACAACCACTTAGGATTTGTTGGGAGCATGAGGGGAGTAGGAAAGCAAATTGATAGCAAGAGGGATAGAAGTTTAACTTTCTTTCCATTGTTTCGATTTTTAAATATTACAAGAAGGGATAACATGAAATTTCCCTTTCTCTCTCTCTTTTTTTTTTTTTTGAACTCAAGTTGAATTTGGAGGTTTACTTGTTAACTCTTAATTTCTACTTTTATTTTTTTAATTAAAAAAAATAAGGGAGTGATAGAAACCTTTACTGACTTTTTTGTTCCAAGACTCCCATTTTTCTCTTTCCAAACACAGGATTAGGGACTCTGTTACTGAATTTAGTGCTTGATCACGGTGTTTAGAATTTGAGCACAATAGATTAAAATGCAGTGTCTGCTATTAGTTATCTCCTCTTAAAGTTTTTGGTTGTTGGGTAGCTTCTGCTGTAAATTAGTTTCCTCTATCATGTCATAACTGGACATACCTAGAGAGAAATAGAGAAAAATACTAAAAAAGTTGGTATAGGGAAGGTAGAGTATGTTACATGGTAGGTATTTATTTTTTATAACTTGTGACCTGTGTTTTCTAATGGGAAAGGCTTTCATATATCAGTAGCTTGAACTCCGAAGATATTTAGCTATTATGGTAGTGGCCTTTTTGTTACCATCCATGTCCTGTTTAATCTTCATAAGCATGGCCATTTGAGTAATCTCATGCTTGCAAACACAGGTTGGGATCCAGCCTTAAAAAAAGATTGGAGCCTATAGTGTGTTCAAACCTACTTATATATCCTACCCCTTGGGTAACTTACTAGAATCTCATTCAACGTTGGATGCATCTGGAAAGGGTTATGATATACTGAATATATTATTATGAGATTGTCAATTCTCCTTTAGACTTCTCAATTTTTGTTTCTTGGGAGCATGATATGTTTAATCTTTTGGACTTGGTTTTTATACTGTTTCCTCGTTTTTGCTCCTCTGTCCTGTCTTTTGTAGATGAACAATGGAAGGCTTCCAATCCCTGTTCATAGACCTAATGGGACAACCAATGCTGGAACCTTGCCTTCTACTTCAACAGTATGCTTTTATTTTATTTTTGTGACTACTCATACTAAGGATGTACTAGTTGCTTTTTCTTTTCTGATTATATGATTTCATGTACCTGCAGTCAATGCCCCAATCTCAAAGTCAAACAGTAGTGGTAGAAAATCCTATGTCTGTGGATTCAAGTGGGAAATTGGTAACTATTATTTCTTTCATTTTTAGTTTGGTTATCTATTTTTCTTTTGCTTATGAGTGATTCTCCGGTTGCCATGATCATAGCAAGATTTCTTAAAAGAATTTGACATGTCACAGGTGAGCAATGTTGTTGTTGGAGTTACAACAGATAAGAAATAATGGCAGCACATATAGAGGGTACAGTACCACCTTTGCTGTCACAAGAAGATATTGTTTGTGTATATGAATATATGATATTGCAGCCTGAAACGGTTTATTTGAAATGAATACTTTTCCAATACAAGGGTTGGACGGATATCATGTATGTACGTATTGTATATGAGGAGAACAAATCGTGAAAAGGGCATAAAACCTGTTAGTGTTTTGTGTGATTGCCAGAGCCTACTTTGTTGTTTCCTTGGTATCCATACCCAAATCAATTGGTTCATTCAGATTATATGTTATCCTACAAGTCCTAAACTAGAAAATGCTACTTTTTCTTTCATGGCTTGTGAAGCTTGTGCTTTTCTTGATGATCTGTTAGATACATGTGTTGTAATATTTGATGATGTTGTGCAACCATTGCATGATAAATTATCTCATTTGACTCTTAGCTAAAAAAAATAAAAAAAGCTGTTGAAAAGCATTTTCAGGAAAATTTTGAACATTTGTCATTATCTTTGCTCAAATGCCACCCATTGGCTGCGTTGGTATAAAATGTATGCTATATTTGTTGAAAAATCTTTGTTTAATCACTTGAAAATAAAATAAGAAACACATAAAAAGGAGGAAGCATTTGGTAGTATCACGTAGGTAATTCATAGATCGTGACTTTTCTTCTGAGTAATTTTTTTTTTCAAAAAAAATAACTTTTAAGAGAGTAAAATAATAAAAATAAAATAAAATAGATTTTTCTGTAAGTTAAAATTAGTTTATATATATGTTTTATTGTTGAAGCTCTTTTTTTTTTTTTTTAGTTTTTTAAAATTTTATTTTTAATTTATTTATAAGTTAATTCTAATTTATTGAGAAGTTTATTTTAACTTTTTCTCTTGGAGAAATTTATATTAGAAGCTTGACCTTTTTTTTTTTTTTTTAAGATTTTGTGTTAACAGTTAATTTGAATGTTAATGAAATGTTAGGCTCGCCATTACTTATGTTACGTGGGTGAATATCTAACTCTTGGTCATTTATGACTTATAAGAATAACCCTTAAAATTTAATATAAATCATAATTATTAAATAGAGTAAATAAATTTCTTATCATATATATATACATATATATA